TCGCCCAGACATCATTATTAGAGACCACAAACAAACAAAAAACTGACTCCTCATTGATATTGCAGTCCCTGCAGACTGCAATGTATATTTGAAAATCTTCAAAAAGCTAACAAAATATAAGGACCTGAAATCTAAATCTCAAAAATGTGGTACATGTGAACATCAATAATCCCCGTTGTAGTTGGAGCCCTCGGATTGGTTGGAAAAGATTCCAGTAGACTAATTGAAGGAATCCCTGGAAGCCCATACTTCAAAAAAAATACAAAACATTGGTCTCACGAGTACAGCCCACACCTTACGAAGGGCTTTGTCTATGTATTTTTTTATAGTGGAAAATGTCATGATGTCATTTCTAAACTTAGGTACCTTGGCGGGACCCGGAAAGAAATGAGTACACATCAGAAATCAAAGGAAATAAAATAAAAATAATAATAATCAAGGTATTAATTACTCATAAAGAATACTGAGTCGCATTTACCTAAAATCCTCGTTCACAAAGTGAACAGTAATCACCTTGTACTAATCATTCTCAATCAAGAAATGCCTCGTCAAGTCCTCATATTGTGGAGTATAAACCCCCTTCCTTTATGAAGGATAAGGATTTTCCAAGCCGGGCTTAGATGTGGCACAAGGCCGAAAGCAGGGGGCACCCAGTGAGAATCGAACTCACTACTCAGTCGTAATTGTTCTAGCGAGACAAGCTTGCTAACCATTACCTCGAGACTCCCTCTTCCTTTATGAAGGATAGCAGGTCATCCACATCGAAGTTTTCGAATAGGTCTCTCGTCATACTTACACTACTAAATCGTTACCTAGTGAAAAAATTTTATCACTGCACTTGATCAGGAAGTGCTTCACTGTGTCTAGTGCCCGGAAAGCTGTGCATTGTCATCCTTCTTTCTATCTGAATAAAAAAACGTGATTTTGTATGGCTGAGGTGCAGTCGGGACAATGTGAATTGTACTTTTCGGGCATTTTTTAGTCTGCTTTACAACTTCCACAAGGTGGGAATAATCTTTACGCCTGGCGTAACCACGACTAGACGCTCATAAAATGTGTTGTATGTTAACTCGATGAGAAATCAACTGCTAGCTGTTAGTGAATAAGATTCCAATTTGGAATTAGTTGACAGGTTACAAAAGCAGCTCAGAGTGGTGCAAAGGTTAGAGATTATCTACCCAGTTACGTCTAATGTGAGACTTAGCAAGAAAATATCTACTGATCTATGACTCCACTGCAGGAAAAAGTTTTGTGGCCAAATACATAAAATGATAATACACCTTTATTTTATTAAGATGTTAAGATTGTTTATCAGTATGCTTTTATCAATAGTGTCTGATGACATTGAGGATTGTAAAATAAATTTGTTGCGTTATCGTATGTGCCGTGTAACAGATTTGAAGTGATTAAGTCATGATAATATGCAATTTTCTAAATAGAAATTGTTCTATCTTATTAATATGAGTGTAAGGTTCTTAGGTAAGTATTTGAACATTAGTTTGCTTTTTGACATTAAAATCATGGCTAAAAATTCTGATGAAACAAACGTGAGACAAGAGAAAAAAAATGATTATGAGAGTCTCGGTAGTTAATCCAGAATTAACAGCTAAATAAGTGAGCGAGGAAGGAATACGGTTATTAAAATGAGGTTTCAATTGATACAGTACACAGTGTATTACCAAAAAACAACTTGAATGAACGCATAGTAGCAAAACATCACAATTAACACCAAAAAACTCATTCGAATAGAAGATTGAAATGTTCAAAAGAACATGCTCTTCAAGTGCCAAAAAATAATTTGCAGTGAGAAATGCGAAATCGAATTACATTCTAATACAAGAGAATATGTTAAAAAAAAAGAAACAGTTGTAAATGGAAACAATTCAAAATACACTACAAAAACGGTATGATTTAGTGGTAGACACCCATCTGTGTGGTGTTGCATCAAAAGCGATCGCATAGAATATTGGTAAAAGTTGAAGAAAACCTAAACTATATTAGATTGTTGATATCCAGGTCTACCCAGGTCCTTGATCCGATCTGAGTATCGGGATTCCAAACATTTAACAATAACAATAACGCATCTTTTAAATGGACCTTGAAGATTGTAAAATAAGTTGTTAAGTAGCTTGATGTTGAAAAAGGACCATACAAAACTATTCGGCCAATGAAAGATCTGAGATAATAAAGTCATGATAATATGCCAATTTCTCAGTAAAAATTGCTTATTAATATATGTGTAAGTTGCCTAGGCATGTATTTGAACATTAGCTTGCCTTTTCACACTAAAATCATGTCTAAAATTTCTGCAATAAGGCTAAAAACTCAAAATATTCAAAAAGCTTTATTTTTCCATATGCAAATGATGTAATTGGATAGAACATGTATTTTAACGCATTTAACAATTTATACTATACAAGTTTTAGAAGGATCCATAAAGTTCTAGAAAGCACCAAGAAGTTCTAGAAGATTCCATAAAGTTATAGTATTATAATAAGTACAGAGAATCTTAGAATTATCATGTTGAGGTGATATTTTATGATTATAAACTGAATTAAACTTTTTCATTAATTTTGAACAAACGTTCATTGAAAGATGAGGAGATCAATAATAATTTTGCAAAACGTCTTAACCTATATATATATATATATATATATATATATATATATATATAAACCCAGTGAGCCAGACAAACCTAATCAGGATTTAACTAAGTGGGATCTGGGTTTGTCTGTTTGTCTATATATATATATATATATATATATATATCCAGTGAGCTGCACAACCTACCCAGTCTCACTAGGTTTATTTTAGGTCTGTTTCACGATTGTATTGAGCTCTTTTGTTTAGTTAGTTGTTTACTCATGTCAGGGTTTTTCTTTGGGCTTCAAACCTGTATCTGTGCGATTTTTTTCGACAGACTTTCATGTTTCTAGCTCTTTCTTTTTCAAAACCTTTATTCTTTCGAGATTGATTTTGATTATTGACAAATCAAAAAAATTGTTTTTCGAGACAGTATATTGCCTATATATATATATATATATATATATATATATATATATGGCCGGGGGCACAGTCCTATGCGTAAGGAGAAACTCGGATGAGTTCTACCACGGAATATGTGATCGAGCGATGCTATATGAAGTCTAATTCGTTATCTCCTCGTCAGCGAGACCCGTTGGTACAATTGATATGACGCTTGCTTGATATCCTAACTGTCCGGGTCTCGATTCTTGGTAGTCGATGCGCACTACTGATGATTCCGAAATATTTGAACGAAACTATGTCCTGTGTTTTCTGCATTCTGTTGAGGCGTCTTTTATTATAGTCTCGATGAATTACTTAATTTTAAATGCCTTTTTCCCCAATTCTTATTTTAATGTGTGTGTTTGTTTGGGGCAAACGACACGAAATTAATATACACATTTATTTTATTAAAGAGTTAAGATTGTTTATCGGTATACTTTCATCAGTAGTGTCTGTTAGTCTTGAAGGTTCTGAAATAAGCTGTTGCGTTTTTGTAGGTGTCCTGTAATAGAAGATATACCTATTTAAGCAGAGTGACGTTGAAAAAAGACAATCCAAAACTATTGGATTAATGAAACAAATGAAATGATAATATGCAAATTTCTAAGCAGGAATTATTACCTACTAGCAGTAGAGTCCGGCGTTGCCCGGGGATGTAACAGTAAGAGATAGATCAAGTATCGACCATCATAAAGACTGAAAAATAAAATTGACAAAGATTATTGTTTAAGGTTGAGAGACACGCATGTCTTAATTATTTTTTTGTTATTTTTTTTTACGAATTGGTCAAACCCAAACAAAAACATTGTTTTCAATCATTATGAGTCTACCGATTCAATAGAATTTTATTATAAATAATTGTCTTGTAAAAGGATTTTTTAAAGCATTCTGAATGTAAAAATAAAGAAACAAGTGTGCAAGACAATAAGAAACACTACCTGCCAAAAAAAAAGGGAAATTTTGTTGAAATCGGTTGAAAAATGTAGGAAATCCAATCCCATATATAAACGAACACACACACACAAACAATCTGGGTTTTATAATAAGTATAACTTATGAGTTGTCCCTTTCATTCTCGTGATGCCTCTTAATCGTGTTTTTAAATGGATTTCGTGCAAAAACAATTGTGTTTTTTTTTATTTTGGGCGCTGTTAGAACCACCGCAAAGTAATTTTACGTAATCCTGTGATGTTTTGTTGAAATTGCTTGAAAAATGTAGGAAATTCGATCCAATATATAAACGTACAGACACACACACACACACACACACACACACACACACACACACACACACACGCAAACACACACACACACACACACACACAAAACCTGGGTTTTATAATAAGTAAGATGAGCATAAGTTGAATAGGCAAGTCATTGTAGTTGAACATTAGCTTGCTTTTCGTATACTGAAATCATGGCTAAATGTTTCTGCTCAAATAAAGATGAAGTACCTAACATGAAAGGGGAAGATAACTCAACGAGAGTTAGCTCGGCGGTTGGGAATTTCCAGAAACAGTGTTAGAACCATTCTAGAGAAGTTTTCTATTACTGGAAGTGTTTTAAGTGCAAAGAAAAACTGAATTACCCCAAAAGTTAGACAAGACAGATAAAAAAAAAGTTTATGAGTCTCGTTAGGCAATCCAGAATTAACAGCCAGACGAGTGAGTGAGGAAACAATGCGATCTTAACTGTGAGGTTTTACTTAATAAAATACGTGGAGTATTAGGAAAAAATAACTTGAAAAATTTTGAAGCCGTAAAAAAAAATCATTAAACCTTGTAAATATGTCGTAAATTAAGAAAATAAAGAAATTAAGAAAAATCAAAATAAACC